CCAACAGATACGCAAAAACAAATTCATGACATTAACATAACTCTGTACTATGGTATTGGTGATATATGAATTGGGTGCCATAGGATAGTACTTGATGGCCAACCAACCTAATCCAATATGTAGTTTGCATTGTACGAGTATAAAATAAGTTATTAGGAAATTGGGATATTAGGATATTAGCACCAGCTGTTTTATACGCATGCGCATTGGCCGATCCTGTCAAATCTCGTCATCTGTTTTGGGGCGTGTCTAACGATGTGAAATTGCTTCAGCCATTGGGTAACGGAATTAACTGGTGTCGGTGTGAAAACCGCTGTAAAGTGGCGGTAAAATGAATTTGCGCGGTGTTTGCACTGCCATTTTTTGAAGGAGTTGAAGCAGCAATGGAAGCCGACCATTTAATTGTTAAAAATCTTGTCCGGAATATGATTTCAAATGGCCGAACTTATATAGGAATCAGTCTCGTATTGGAAAGCATGTTTCCGGAAAGGAGAGGTGGCGTGGTGAGTAGATTTCCTCCCCGGTAGGGCTTCGGTACCGAGAAAGAGTGTCGAGCGGCCAACATAGTAAACCAAACTTAGAACTCGCGATACTGGTGCAGACGATTATTCGAACAACCATGAAAAATAAATGGCGTGACTTTGGTGTTGCACATTTAGCACAGAAATAAAAGACACGCCCACAGTTGGACAACCAATCATTTTATTATTGGTCACGATGTACCACGGATCATCTCCACGTCATTTGTAAACATCACATACACGATGTGCCGGCCATCCAATGGCGGGATGAGCGGCTTCCTTTGTGCACAATCAGCGTCAACTTCATGAGAGAAACACGACGGACTTGCGAAGCCAGACCGTCTGGCGGCGCCCTACTATTTCGTCAATAACCAAATATACTATTATCCTGTTCCCGAATTGGACATTTGTTTATTTGGAGTAACTTCCAATTCTACGCCAGGTCCTTAGTAATTAATGATTCCACGTATTTATTTGGCCGTTATTTGACAGACGTAAAATGCCATAATGTTAATCCGCGAAAATTTAAACACACTGATACTGATAATGAATTACAAATTTGCCAAAATATACTAAATTTACTATCCCATGGAAATAATTGAAATCAAAATATTTGACAATATATTAAATTTTTCGTCGCATGCACACGATTGAAATATCATATAAAATGGGCTTAATATACTAATGTTGTATTTAGTTAATTGTAAGAACGAGTTTACATCCTGGAATGGCCACGATGTACCACGGATAACACGAGAACCGAAAATACCCGGTACTAATGTAATATTGAAAATTTCGAACGAAGAATTTTATATTTTGTTGCACATCATGGCTATACACACCATAATAGAAAATATAACCATCTATGTTAATGTTAATTAAGAAAGTTTAAGATATACAAATGAGAAATAATTTGTTCTTCACTTGCCAAAGGCTATGAACGTCCCAAGACGAAAGAATAGCTTGTGCACTACCATAGAAGGTATGGACAATTTTTATAAATTAAATTCACTGTGAAATATGAAACTATACTTTGAGGTAAGAACAGGATGCTGAATATCCGGGGCAGGTGATGTACTGACACCGCCATCTGCATCTGGAAATAAATGCTATATATAAGATTATACAAAACATATAACGTATATAATAGTAATGAAAATACGTACAATAATGTTACGTATAGTATAAACAACATGTAATAAACATACAATGGTTATATCTGTTGGAAAGGTCAAGCTCAATAGCTATACACTAAACCATTCTATTTTTATAGTTGTATTTATATATGGGGGAATATTATGTTGATGGTTAATGTCAATACCTATATGTTAGCGCTGATAGGTTAAACGAGAGTTAGAGGCATTGTTTGACATACTAGTATATGATACCAGCTGATTTTATCTAAACGATAGTTTAAAACGAGTACATGACCCCATGTGAACCTAACCAAGTGTAACTATTTGTTCAAGTGTTCGACATAAATAACTGTGATCTTGACATATATCATGATTGATTCGGGAAGTGACCGCCCTGGGTCGCCGTTGATAGATACAAACCAACACCACGACATATCAGTTTGACAATGTTGGCAATGGATCATTTAATATTAATATCAACGAACCTGTCAGTGATTGGTCCAATGTTCAAATATATATGTTATGTGATTGGCTGAGTGTAGTCTTAGAAGGCGGTAGCCAGCAGAGCGTTTCAATGGGTTTGTTATTTTTAATACTCAAATGTACGTTATATGCTTTAGAAGTGAAATAAAGGTCACTCTTAGCTGGGAGACCGACATGGAGTCTGACAGTTTCTCTATTGCGTAATGTTTAATGTATATGAATACCTAGTTGACAAAGTCAGACTAGACATCTCTTAAATATAAAGTATTGTTTGTAGCTTCAACGTGAATATTTGTGTTTGTACAATTGCTAAGTTACAGTAATTAAGAATACTTGTACAACACTGACTGTACACGACACAAATCTCATTACATACACATTGCTATAAAGTTACAAACAGAGGAATGACTAGCCTCCCAGTAATTACAAATTAAGAAATGTTTGATCAATTAGATTGCACGCCTTCGCTGTCAGAGATGTTGTGTTCTTGCTGTGAGTGGTAATAAGCATACTTTTCATATTATTATCGTTGTTTACTATGTGCAGCTCGTGTAAGCCGAAATAAACCCGGCTTAAATCTTTCGACCTTCAACCATTCTATGACATTTGACCTCTATGGCATTTGACCTCGTCCGTTGCAAAACAGGTTGCATGAAGATTAACCTGGAATGTATATAATGTATGGTTGTCATGGATATAGGCGTCCGCAGTTATAACTATGAATATTGTCACTCAAGTCACTCAAGTCATATGTCTTTACGTCATAATTCAAATTGCATTGACAGGCACGCATGCGCAAGTACGATTATTACCACTGATTATAGATCATATGACTGACAATACATTTAGTTACTGTTGGGCTGTCTCCCGGTTACACAGATAAATTTCGCTTATACGAATCATGTTATAATTACAAAGCGCACGGTATTTATATATGTATAACAGTGTATTGATATCTCAGTAAAACTGAGTTGATACGTCAGAGTATAACCAGATGGTAGTACGCCCACGCTGTATCGTAATTCACTATGGCGACAGGTTTGATGCTGATCCGTATACAGCAGCCGTTCGTATGTGTTTTATCAATATCCCGTAGACGGAAAGCTTAGTTTACTCATTAAAAGCTATTTTATGTTGTGACAGCATATATTTTATTTTGGTGAACCTAACATACGTATATTATAATGAAAAAAACAGTAAAAATTATTAAATGGAACATTAATTTGACGGCACACATTCACCACAGTAAGACGTCGGATACGTTATGTTTAAAGGTCGCTGGCGCATTTATGGATGTGTTTTGAGTCGATAAATGTAACTCGCCCTCTGTCGGTGGAAAAGTAAAAGTTGAGTATCGACTATTGTACGTGATTGTAATTATACTCCGACTGCCTTATGGCTTGAAATATAAAAATGTCTATTAACAAATCGACGAATATGAATAAAACACTATTAAAAGACCATGTATCTTCCTTCACCCAGTTGCAAGCCCATTGAATTGTTAATATCAATGTTTAATTAAAATTAGGCGCCAACATTCGATGGTTGTTTTTTGTTACATTGTTAGCGGTGTTACAGTTCAATGTCGGTAAAGTTTAAAGCCAAAACTAACCTGGTTGGCTCTAGATGTATCGCTACGTTCATTTTGAGTGAGCCATTCAGTATAAATGATTAATCAATGTCAATGCTAAACACTAAACAGCGTGCGTTCATTTTGATATGATTAATTTATATAAAGCCAATCACGTTTAGCGATTGGTGTAGTCCATTTGCCGATTTATGTAGCATTTTTCAAAGCAGACAATTTATCACATACCATATTTGACGTGCGTGGATGCCAGTAAGGATAAATACAACAAATTTAAATATTTCAGATGATAAAACATGCAACATAAATAACAATTAAATCGTGATAGAATTCCTCTGTACATGCTATATAATAGCCTTGGGTAGCCATTAAAGGCTAACAGTATATAGTTATATTGTGTCACGTGATTTCATTAGACGAGCATGTGATATGCATAATTTATCAATTCGTAAAATGTAGTGTTGTTGCCATCGACTATGTTGAACACAACGACTGTCTGAACCGTATATTGCTCAGAAATATGTGTCGCCATTCCGCGCTGAAAGGCCCACCAGCTGGTTTGTAATTATATTTCCCGAGATAAAGTGAGTTGAATCTACATGTACTATTGCACGTATAGATGGATGTGAAAGCGTGTATGTATGTCTTTGGTATAAACAGCGATAACTTATGTACATGCATATATGTTCAGCAAATATCGGGAATACAGTAGCTCGTACTGCATCGACTATGTCATCGTACTACCATTCAACGAACCATGTCGAATCTACTGTAAATACGTGTTGACAGAATATTGGTGATTGTTATTAATTGCATGAACAGCCTGGACACAGAAGCATTACTCCAATGGTGTTAGATTTTAAAATGGATGTCCAAGCCGAACGTCGGCCAACAATCATAAACGTATCTGCCGGTGGAAATATTTCTGAAGAACCGGAAACAAAACGTGGATGTGTACATTCAAAATATTGTCGCAAAACGTTCCAACCATATGTCATATCGTATTTTGCGCTTTCTGCATATGTATTTATAGGCGCCTTCGTATTCCAAGTTCTTGAAGCCCCGTATCACCAACGTCTTGTGGACGGCATCGATTCGTCGAGAGAAAACTTCTTCATAAATTTACGAAATGGATGCAGTTTGAATGATGGCAACTGGAGCGTCATGTTAGAGGAACAAGTCAGTTTATTCGAAGATGAACTGGAGAAGGCGTTCCAGCAAGGGTTACGAATAAGAAAGGGATACAAATGGGATTACTTTGCTTCTTGTTTCTTCTGCCTCACTGTTGTCAGTACAATAGGTTAGTATGTCGTTATCACTATGTCAGACGCACGATTAACAAGTTGGTATCACACCATCGAATGTCCCTGATGATTTGATAAAACATAATTCACTATAGCGAGTATTGGAGTTAATATCCACCTCATTTTAACCCAAGATATCAGCCATGTTGCTAGTTAAAACGTACTATATTCGTCGGTTCACGATATAATATTCTGTATCAGCGCTTTTATAAATGTGTATGTGCATCGCACAGCTGGGCGATTAAGCGCCTGTTTTTTGGAGACGTCAGATAGTCCAATTGACGGTTTATTGTATTGCGTGGTATATGCCGTATGCGTAATATAGTAACACATTTGTCTCTTTTGTTATTATGTATTTTTTAATCTCTCTGTATCACTTTATCAAATCATATCTATATCTCGATTTATATTTCTAAAATATACATGGTAATGAGATTATATACGGTTCATGTATTGTTTGTTGACGTTCATCCTTCCGAACGTTGCTATATTATTCTCACTTATCAAGGCCGTGAAACTAAAACCACGTTACTATCAGGGGGTAATTCTTCTCTCTGGGGGTCTCCACACGTGTCAGGGGGGAATCTCGTCTCGTCTCTATATCTCGTCCCCTCGAGGTGCGGGATCAGGAAATTCACTTATACTTTACAGTCAAACAAGACACACACAACAAAATACGTTTCAGCTCTCGTCTTAGTCGGTCAATCGAGCACTCTATAAGACACAGCGCCCTGGGGAAAAATCCCCAAGACTATCGCAAGGCTGACCCAAGACTCTTTTAGACTGCGTCAAGCCTGGGGCTCGCCCCAAGTCTCTCCAGGACTGGACTCTCTACTGCGTCTATCGTGCTGTGCTCCCAAAGACCAACTCAAACTCTCTTTATTCATTTTCAAAACTCTAACCAATTACAAAGCAGTAAAAAGACTCTAGGGCGTAACCTTCAATCATAAAGCCAATCACACTAAGTACTGAATACGTCATATCTTTTGATTAATCGTTCACTACATTAATAACTACGGATACCAACTGTCAGAATTAATAGTCAGAATAGCGACGGTTATCTCGTAATTAGTTTCAAATCACTGAGCCAAGTTCCGTCCATAACTTCAAATAGGCCTAAACGATGACAGACATAACACAGCAATTCGCTAATAATCAGCTAATTAAGTCGGTCAACAGATACGCAAAAACAAATTCATGACATTACTGTGGCGATTCATTTGTGTAAATCAATAATGACAAGTGTTCAGGATACGTTGTATATTTTTCCAGATTGATATAATAATTTATGTATGCCATACATTAACAACTGTATCATGAACTTGAAAATAACAGCATGTTACAAAGCGGATATTATTTTAATAAAGTGAGCACATTGCAGTAACTGCAGTTCACAATGTGACAGATTATGCACACAGTGACATATGTTGAAAGCAATGGTTATTTTTAGACTCGTTACTAAAACGGTTGTTATTACTTTTTTCTAACCAATTATAACATATCATCTGCTTAAGTCGTTGAATGTGACAAAACGCATTCACACATATACTACATTCAACAAGAGTCACATGCATATGCTGTGCAATTACTTTCGTTTATCGGTATTGAGCTTGAGTAGTGAGCTATATCATGGTTTACTGCATTCATAATAATATTATAACGCAATGTCGCTATTATTAAAATAATAAACTTTTAAATTGAATTGGAATTATATTAGACTGTACAATAGTAATTCTCTATTCACATAATATTCTAAATCCATAAGTATACAACATAACCTAAGGTATGTCACGTATTACGTGATAACAAATGTTATAATGGTAAATCTATTGCATGTAGATTTTTCAAGTTTCTTAACCATACTACTGTTATTGAAAACTCCCAATGGATGTACGAAAGATATCTCACGGATGACTTATAGTATATGGGTGACATAATCAGACCATGCACAGCAACGTTACCAATAAACAAAAGTGTTTTAAATAATTAATATCAAACGAGAAACCCTACATAAATGAACAGATATAATAATATGTAAATTACACAACATGTGTATTTAACGGTTTATATCACTCTGTTTCTTGTAAATAAATAAATAAATAAATAAATAAATAAATAAATAAATAAATAAATAAATAAATAAATAAATAAATAAATAAATAAATAAATAAATAAATAAATAAATAAATAAATAAATAAATAAATTATTAGTCACAGCACACATACACAAATACGAATACGAGCCTATACTATGAATTCACAGACTATCAAGATTTACAAAGTCTTCCTTCATCATGGAAATTCGGAAAGTATATTGTTTCTGGAGACAGCTTGTAGTGACACGTCTTTGTTTAGAAGTTGGAAACGTGAATTGCACTGTGACAGAAAACGGAGCTTAACACAAACTTGCCAAATGAACAATTTCACGTGCAGTACTCGTAATTGTCACTGTATCGTTATATATTCTTAAAGCAACGTTCCTGCATGGGTCCGTTCTCTTAACACCGAAATCAAATGTAAACCTATTTGTTTTTGTGGTCGTTGGCCAGATTTCGAATATCTCCGAAGTTAAATTATAATTGTGTATAAGTGGATTATACAGTGTATACAACTTGCAATTACATGTAAATGTATGCGAATAATGTAAACAAGTCCTGAAATACGTGTACACATTTAAGCTAAGACAATAAAGTGGACTCCATTGTCTAGTAAAAACGCAAGGTATGGTTGACGGCCCCCGTCATGACATATCTCACATAATTCATTTATATATATATATCTATCTCTATTACCGGCTGAACGTTCACGGATCATGAACTTATGTTTGTGGGATAATGGCTAGATACCATTGTGTAATTATTGCAGATAATGAGACTATGAATATTCATTAAGAACGTATAATTTAACACATTGGATACTCTGTGACATACACGCAAGGGGACCTAATAAAGAAGCCTATTAAAATGTAACATAATGAAAGCATACACATCAGTCTATTATACAACTACATTGATTCTTGTTGTGATTATATTTAAATATGAATATGATACAGCATTTAATATATTAAAATAACAGTTTATGAATGTGTTTATACACCTAATTGTTATATGCAAATAATTTGTG